GAAAATTAGAAATAAGAAATTAACCCTCTCTAAATTTTCAGTTTTTATACTAGGTGAAATTACTGTAGGTTGATGAGTCATTTTTTTCCCTGAAGTTTTTGTTGTTGGCATCACTTTCCTAGTTAAACTGGAAAGTGAAACTGAAGCAGGATGTGTGGGTGTGGACTGGCCCAAGCAAACAGTATGCTGGGAAACATCCTCTTGGAAAGAGAATCCACAGTTTAGTTGTGTATTTACATTAAATATGTGGTGTATGCTGTTGGATTCATTTAAAGGGAATTTGAACATTAGCTTGAACAATCACTTTGAATCTATCTTGATTTAGAATGGAGGAGGGCTGTAAAACAGATCAGTCAGTTTTCAATTTTACATCGGACCCTTAGCCTCAGACTGATCATTTGAGGAACAGGAACAGGATTACAGGACACCTGGTTTTAACTGCGAGGCCTTGGTGCCTGAGGCCCAGGCCCTGAGGCCTAGGCCCCAAGGCTGAGGCTGGAGTCAGGGTCGGGCCTCCATCTACCATGCTCCTCTTATTGATTACACACCCATCATGTTTTTATTTGTTAGTCATGGGGGGTAGGAGGTTGGGTGGTACAGAGCGAATAAAACTCTTTCCACATGAAAACCAGAATACTCACATACACTTCCCACATCCCCTTGGGATTAAGCAGCGCTTGTTAAATATGCTCACGGTGTGGTAACGCACTGACAGATTTTGAGAACAGATTTTATAGTATTTCCTAACAAGTGCTTAAGTGCAAAAAATCTCTACTCTCATTATGGAATAAATGAAGAAGAATGATGAAGGTGGTCTCACACAGTCATCCATCCAAACACAAGCTTTACAGGCCTATTTGTTACATTTTGCTAGATGTATTTCAGAAATATGTTTTAATGAATAGCCAATTACATTATTTTTCTCAAAGTTGAAATATTTTCTGTATATAAATTTATTCAGTTTGGCATTTTAACTGGATTTTTGTTCAGCTAATTTTTTTATGTTTACAATCCAATGTATAATCACAAACTTTTAATGTATGTTTTTTTCTGACAGATACACTGTTTGCTTTGACAGAAGCAGATTTAACACAAGTACATTTATAGATGAGTAAAACAATTTGGATGACTATGTTGCAGCAACTCTGCTGTGTCCTTCAGCATAAAGCTAAAGAATAAAAGTGGTATTACCATGTTTGGATGGATGAAGAATCTCATAAATTCACCTGACTGTTTCCCAAACTTTCTGCTGCATTTTTTTTGTCCTGCTGAGTTTTGACTTTGGCTAGTTGGAAACACATGAACAGAAGCTGAGCACTGTTGATGGTACTCAAGGTGCCATGGTCAGAGGCTGAACCACTGAAGGCTTTTATAAGAACAACTCATTAAAAGACAACCTCTGTGCGTCTCCCCTCCGGCAGCCGCGAGTGCCGTTTAGAGAGGCTGCTTTTCTCTTTCAGCCACGCAGAGAAAGCCCAGAAAGTCAAGGCTGGTTGCTCTGAGTACTGATTGCATTTTTTCTCTTTTTCACCAGAGTGCCTATTCAGACGAAGGCAAGAGGGGAACGGAGGATTTAAAAACATTAATGAAGCATTCAACTAACATTTTTTTCCCTTCTTCTCTTACTGCCAGCCAGATGGGTTGTGCGGAACGAGATCAGTCAGAGATGCTCCTTGTTTGATTGGTTGACTCTGAGGTCATGCTGGAATGTGTAGCAGCTTGATTGGTTTGTTTGGCGAAAACAAGCTATTCCTACTTGTAAGAATGAGAATGAAGTGAAGGCAAAGATGGACCCTGAGCTGTTTGAAATAATTTTGATTATTCCTTTAATCTTTTCTGTTTATTTTGCTTCTTGGATGTTTCAAGCTCTGTTTCTGTTTTTTCCAAGGATGCTTGGCAAATCAAAGGCAGTCTGAATGTATAAATCCTCACATAACTCATGATTTAGTGTTGCATAGTCTGCTATCAAAAATGAAATCTGGTATGTAAGCGCCACATATATTAATACAGGCTTTTCAGTTTGCACACATTGAATTTTTTAAAATAGAAAAATGCAAATAAAATACAGCAGGAGTCAAGCCAAACCAAAGAAACAGAAATATATTGGAAAGATTTATTCCTGTATTTTATTCTTTTTTATTAAAACACATATTTATTTTTTGTTTGGGGAATGACAAAAATACCCCCCAACATTTTGTGTGCTGTGTATTTGTGAAGAAATATAAATTACCAGATCTGAAGATAAGTACTCTGTTATTCTATAAATAATCAACATTGTTGCATATGACAAATCAGCCAATCACGTGACAGTAACTCAATGCATTTAGGCATGGAGACGTGGGCAGGACGATTTGCTGTAGTTCAAACTGAGCATCAGAATGAGGAAGAAATGTGATTTAAGGTGATGGCATAGTGGTTGGTGCTAGACAGGTTCGTCTGAGTATTTCAGAAACTGCTGATCTACTGGGATTTTCACACACAACCATCTCAGAACTATTCTGAAAAAGAGAAAAGATTCAATGACTGGCAGTTCTGTGGGCACAAATGCCTTGTTGATCCCAGAGCTCAGAGGAGAATGGCCAGACTGGTTCGAGGTGACAGTAACTCCAATAACCACTCGTTGCAACTGAGGTATGCAGAAGGAGGCGCAACATCTCCAACACTGAGGCGGATGGGCTGCAGCAGCAGAACGCACTGGATGCCACTCCTCTTAGCTAAGAACAGGAAACTGAGGCGATAACTTACACAGGGTCTAATTTTTTTAAGCAGATCTGTGAAAACCCCGTTGCAGAAATAAATGAGACTTAAGATAAACACATGGATGCGTTTTAGTAGATCTTCCTGAGACATTAGACCTTTAAATATGGAAATGTTCCTCAGGTCTTCAGAGGCCAACATGGAAACTGTTTTCATGTGACTCTCAAGGTTAGGGTCAAAGTCCACCTCCACACCAAGATTTCAGCATGTTCTCTATTTTCCAGCTGCAATAACTGAAGCTGTGCGTTAACTCTAGATGGTTTCTGTTCAGGTCCAAAGATAGTAATTTCAGTTTTGTTTCTGTTCAGCTGGAGAAAGTTGTGGGACATCCACACATTTATCTGTTCTAAGCATCTGTTCAGCGATTAAATGGGTTTAGAGTCACCTGGTGACATTGTAATGTATCACCTGTATAGTTATGGTAACTAATCTTATCTCCTGCTGTAACCTGAGCCAGTCGGAGCACATAGATATTGAATAAGAGTGTTCCTAGGAATTAACTTCTCTACGGTTCAAGAAGAAGTTACCTATTGAAACAAAGAAGTCCCAAGAATTGGGTCTAGACTGGAGAGTCCAGGAGAGTCTTCTCCAGTAGTTTTAGTAATTTGTCACTGTTAAGAGTGTCTAAGGTCCAACAGAACCAGCACTGTGAATGTTAAGTGTGTAGCAGCAGCATAGATGTCCCCAACGCTAATGTCAGCATCCACTGGCCACATGTCCAAAGAAGTTCTATAAATTATCTGGGCTTCCTGGAACACTGGAGTAGGTTTAACAGCACTTTGCACCAATACGATGACTGAATAACTTGAACAACAGATTGGAAAGAACTGGAGCAAAAGGGGCTTGAATTATGTTTATTTTGTAAATATATGCATTTAAAATAAAATGTGAATAATTTTGAATAATAAATTATAGATCCTGCAATTAACTTGATTAAAAAATGGACTGAAATCCTATCCATTGAAACACTATCCATCGACATAGTGGGACACGTTGTCCAACAGTGATGTTAGTTTAGCCAGAGTCCTTTAACACACCTGCAGTATGCTAAAGGCCATCCATGCTATGGGCTGGCCTCCTAATGAGCTCATCTAATCACTTCCTCTCAGCCGCAGAAAGGCTGCCGCTCCAACAGACAACAACATGGAAGATGGCTGATGGAGTTAAGAAGGCCTGCAGGAGCGCCCCCTGCAGTCCAGAAGATATCAGTTTCTGTAGCAACATAAACAAAGGAAACTCAAAACAGCAAAGAATCAGAGTGACAGGGGCGGCGCCAGAAATCTTGGGCACCATGCCAAAAAATTGTCATGGGGCCACAGCTCACAGCTGCTGTTACAATTTCTTGAGTCTATTTGACCCATAAAAAGTGTCAACTTTAAAGGCTTGCAATTGTCTTGCTTTCCTTGGTCCAATGTTGATTCTAGCACAATATTTACTGATTGTGAATTTTGCATGAGGCAGTCTGCATACAGTATGCAAGTAAGTTGCTTGAATTTTTTTCTATTAGTTTTAGATTACTAAAAGGTCTCTCCCCACAAGTAACAGTCAAATGTAATGTGCAAAATTTTAAGCATTTTATTCAGGCTGCAGTGTATAACTTTAATAAAAAAAATGTTTTCTCCATATTTGTTAAAAACTGGCACCATTTTGTGACAGTTTGTTATGAGACAGATAATCTGTGAAAAGATCAATCTCCTCCACCTCCTCCCTGAACTACTATTACTGGCAAAAGTAATGCAATTTTCCAGCCAAAAACAACCAATCAGAACCAGGAGGAGGGTCATGGTGCTGCCAATCAATCTCATTCACCATTAGCTATGCTGAATGAGATTCAGCATAGCCCACTAGCACACTATTAGCACCATTAGCACACTAAGTGTGCTAATGGTGGAGAAACAGCATAGCACCAAGCAAGGAGGGATGACCAGCCACATGAGATTGTGATTGACAGTACTAAAACTCTCCCATCTCTTGACTGTGCCGATCAACTGGCTGGAGTCTTTACCAGGATCTTCAGCCACCGTCAAGTGCGCTAAGCAGAAACAAACCATTTTATGCAGATCCAGAAGGATTCAGGGCAAATGTGGACATCTGCTTTTTGGTCTGAAAGTGGTACAACAAAAAATGGGGAGGGCCCCCTGTTGGTTAAGAGCCCTTGAAATTGTTCTAACCTTTCTAAATTTGCCCCCATGCTAGGCTGATGGAGGCAGATTCAGCTGATAGTGTACTTTTTGTCTCCTCAGGCCTGATGGAACGGGGACAGTGACTGTGGAGGAGAAGGAGCAGTTTGAGGCCGTCAGACATCGTCTCATTGTTCTATTGGAGAATCAGATAACACATTTTAGGTATGAATATTCACACAACAGAAACAGGGAGGTAGTTCTTTCTAAAAGGATTTTCAGATGTTCTTCATAAAGCCAAAAGCTGATGCATGCTCTGAAAGCAGGAACATTTCCATAATTTTAAGGGACGTGGTTGAACTCTGACATGAACAAAATTGTGGTGGCAGCATATAAGGGTCCCAGGTGCAGTATGGGGCAGCAGGGGAGCTGTGGGGATTGCCACTGTGCTGAAAATTTTAATCAGGGGCATGGAAAATCACACTTGGGAGTGGTACCATGGTGCAAGCTTTAATTAGATTGCTCCATCCTGACAGTTGAAGAAAGTGGTGGTGCAATCATGGACTAGAACTGCTGAGAGAAGATGCTGCTGATCCACACAGCATGGTGGGGACACATTGTAACTTCTTAGGGAATGAAAAAAAAACTATTTAGCAATTACTAAAAGCTTAACATGGTCATGATTGTTTGACGCCGAAGGAAGTTTTTTATTTTTTAAGTGTTTCTGAAAGTTCTGTAAGGTTGCATCAACTCCACATACACTTTTATGTGTTTTGTTATGTGTGTGTGTGATTTCAGGAACTGATGGTTTGATGGGACACCCCTTTATTTCCTACTGAATGACTGTGAGATCTACGGCACTCCACCTCAGTGTCGCTCTAAGACTAAATGGTGTTCTAAAAAAAAAGCTAGACAAAATAATACATGTGGTTTAATTGGGGCCTGAGCATCTCATTAAAGTTAATTAGTGGGGTCACACAGGCCCAGACACAATGCTTATGGCCTGTGGCCATGGGTCATCTTGGATTTTTTTTTAGGCCCAATCTAAACTTTGCAGGCCTGACCACCAATCTCCTGGTGGTTTTTCAGCTATTCACACCTTGGGACATGTCACCAAAATAACTGAAATGGCACTTTTAGACACTTTTTTGAATCACTAGGAAATAATGACCCAAAGGTGGGCTGAATAGAGGATAGGGGCTATTACTAATGACTAATTACTCAGTTTGTGACCGTGTTAGTATGATTTTTCTGACTACAACTTATAAACCTATTTACTCCAATCAAGTTCAGAACTGGAGAAGCCTTTTGGATAAGAGTTTAAATGTTTTTAGGAAACAAGAGAAGAAGTCCAGTTTTCTTCTACTGAGTCATTGAGGATTGTCAGATAGTGATTTTGAATAAGGTTACCATGGCTGAAAAACTAGAAAAAATTTGTAGTAAGAAAATTTCACAAAACTGGCAGCATCCTACTATGCTGAGCTTCAATATTTTCTTTTGCAAATGTTAGCTGAAGTAGGTAGGTACTGGATTCCATATATCTTTGAAGTTGCAAGTCTTGAATTAGCTTTAAGCAATATATCTTAATATCAATAGACGTCCCATTCCTAATTCTGGTACTTTATACTTCATGTTGTACAGGCACTTTTAAAACCATTGGAGTGTTTAGAATTAGCAGGATTAGAGATTTGTATTATTATTATTATTTGTAAGTTTATATTTGTCTTCTATATTTAAAATTTCAAAAACCACTGCAGAAGAAAAGCAATCTTTATCTCCTTAGGAAAACTACCTAAAACTTTTAAAATGTTTTAGGTTGCAGTGGGGGTATTTTAGTCCCATCAGCGGCACACAACAGGTGCAGGAGATTCATGTTCAGTGGCTGTTGAGACCTCCGAGCATCTGTGTGACCATTCAGCACCGCCATCACTGTGTGAACTCATTGTGAGTGTGGTGTGAAAGCAACAGCCCCAAGACCTTGAGCAACACTCATCTGAATGGACCTGTGCCATTAAATATTCTGAAGCTTAGCACTTTAAACACTTCATGCCTCAGAGGGGCCCTCCATCTGGCCCTGGGGCAGAAAGGAGGGGCCAGTTGAGAGCCTGGGGGTTTATCAGCGGGAGTCATTACTAACTCACCTCAGCAAGAGGCTAATGGTCGTAAACAATGACCAAGACAGTGTTGGGATTAGTCTAATGTCCTTCCAGACAAAAAGCTGGAGTTCCTCAGTTTGGTTTTGATTAGGCAGAGCACAAAATAATAGAAATTAAATCTCAATTGCAGATTATAATCTTTATAGCCTTTAGTTCATATCACTGTTTATACCATCATTAGATGATAGTCTTCTCATTACATGATTAAATATGTTCTCAATTTGCCAACCTTTGCATTGAAAGAAATTAATGGTCGGGGATATCCTATTCTGGTTCTACTCACATGGCTTCCCAACTTTTTTTTTTTTTTTTTTTTTCTCTGTGTATGCTTTCTGGAAACTTTTGAACATCATTACCTTAATCTATAGGGTGTTTAATTAAGAGATTTTCTACATGTGGAGGTTCTGCAGACAACTTGAAAATTTCTCCTCCTCCCATGTTTGACAGGGATCCTTTGCATTCTGACATTTGGAATTTGATTAGAAAAGCTTGTTGGACCTGAATACATCTGGATTAGCTACATAACTCTGTTTTGAAAGTTCAAACGGACCGACCTGAAGGTTTTCACACTGAAATGGATTTCAGACAATGTGATTCAAATTCTGTGGGAACAAAATAATGGTCTCTTCCTGTTCCAACATGACTCTGCATCAGTGCACAAAGCAAGAAGATCCATAAAGATGAGTGAATTTTGTGTGGAGTCTTGGTGTCAGCCTGACAAAACACCTTTAGGACAAAGCATGAGCCAGGCTTTCTTGTTACAAAAACAAGAACAACAAGTTGTTAAAATAAATGGGTGTGTTATGCATTGGTATAATACAATACTTTTGCCAAAATAGTTTTTATGTAATGGTTGCACAACATATTATGAAACAATCAGTATCTTCATTAAAGATTTTTAGAAATGAACACTGGGAATGCTATATTTATTTATTTTTATTTTTTTTTTCTGTTGTCATGAATTCACACTTGGCTTCCCGATAGGATCCTCAGCCTGTTGGATGGAGTCTTACTGTAGTTGATGGCCACACGTGACACAGACAATTGTGTGTAAGACAAAGTCAAAGTGGAAGAAAATGGACAAGTAATTTACAAGTTTGTAAATGCTTGGACTAATATTAAGCTGTATTTTGGTACTAATTTAACTTTTATAATCTATATTTGCGCTGTGTCATTTTCCTTCCTTATTGCATTTTATTATTTGAGTTTTGATTGTCAGCTTACTGCTCTCAATCTTTCTCAGGTTGCTGTTAAAAAAAAAAGATTTTTTATCTCAATAAGACATAGCTGACAAAAAGTTTACATACATACAAGACACTGAAGATCACATTATTGGAAGCAATAACATCACAATCCAATCATCCAATATTTTTCAGCACTGCTCAGTGTTTACTGCAGCTGAGGGCAAAGTGTGGAGAACAGCCTGTGATTGTTCTTGAATTAACATTATCAGTACAAACATACAGAAAAATACAAGCATTTACTTTGTATTTTTCTGACATTTTTCTAAAAAAAAATTTCACTATGAGACAAAGTGTTGGTTGTCATATATTTTTGTTTAGTACAGTGACTACTGTTACAAGCAACACAGAAAAGTCACATTTAGAGTAAATAGCCGAGTTCAGGTCTGGCCCTCAAAAACAAGGCATGGGTGCCAAAAAACTATGATATACTTCAAAACTTTGGTCTGACTTAATATGTCAAATAGGCAACACTCAGAATGTGCAGCACACATTCTGGCACAGTATGCTGCAGTATCTTCATTTGTCTCCCTAAAAAAAGCCATCCTCCAGCTGCAGTTGATCAGAACGCTGCTACTGGTGTTCAGGAGGAATAAGAGCACATCGCCCAGTTCTAAAGTACTTCCACTGACTTGCACCTGCTTAAAGGTTATTTCTAAAGAGAATTTGTTATCTGGCAAACAAGATTTATCTCAACATATATTCTAATTTATTGAATATGACTGTATTCAAAGTAATTCTGTTTTTAGTTATACCATATTTTACTAGTTGGTTCTCATTGTTTCAGGAGTCTACAGTACTTGAAACAAAAGTGATGTTTTAGTTACTTTCAGTTGACTTCATCACATATTTATATTTACGTATTTTTGTGGTGTGATTACCTACCTATGTTAAACTTCAATTAAACAACTTTTATTTAACCTTGATTTTTAATCGATTTTTCTCTTTCTTTTAAATGAACATCATGAACTCCTGACTTAATGAATGTTATGAAGTTCATGGCAAGTTGTTTTTTTTTCTTCTTTTTTTCTTTTATTTGCTTAGTCGGATCACTTCTGTTCCTCAGAACAGAACATCTGCCTGTTGGTTTTTTTTTTGTCTCATAAATGGCTGACCTGTGTGACCACTTCCCTTTGTTTATTAAGTACTGTTCACTTGTCAATTAGCAATGTGAAACCTCCATGAACTGCCAAATCTGTGTTCAGATGGAGACGGAGGTGAGAAAAGCTTCTTTCATCAAAGTAATTAGACAAAAGAAGGCAGCCATCTGTTTATGCTCCCTAATATGCACTGTGCTTCTCCAATTTTGCAATCTTTCTTTGTCTCGTCCTTTCTGCGTAGTTGTCCTTGAGATTGGTTCTTAATGTGATGCCCACCTCCATTTTTAATCTGCAGATACTGCTTTCCCTTTGGACGACCAGATGGGGCCTTGAAAGCAACACTTTCGCTTCTGGAAAGAGTAAGGGAAACTCCGAAGTACTTTTGCCGTTTAATGTTTCTTTTCTCAGGATCACTACATAGATTCAAAGTAAGCTTTAAATCATAACACTCAGATAAAGGAGCTTCTACCCAGTTGCACCTAAAAATATATTAGGGCATGTAATGGAGTATCTGTTTGAAAAATATTTAAAAAATTTCTTATTTCTCATTTTATCTAGAGAAATTTGATTCTGAACAGGGAAAATATATGCACTTAGTACACAATAGTTTTTCATTCTGCTGAAAAACTATCTTGTACGATCTTTTGTTTGTGAAAACCTCCTGGAACTTGCTTTCAGTCATAGCAGAGCTGCCTCTTTACTGCTGACTGAAAAAAATTGATGGCACCAGTGGTGGAGACATGTAAAAACCTTTAGATAAATTATGTATCTTAATGCAGTTGTTTAAGCCCTTGCTGAAAAATTTAGAAAAATTCATCCTCTCCTATGATTACATTTATTCTAAGACTAAAAAAACCAAAAAGCATAATCCCTGGTGGCAGAAAATTACTGCTGTCAGTAATTTTCTAAATTCAGTTATATTAATTACCGGAATATACCCACAACTCACAACGCATGCTGTCTCTAGACACTTTACAAAAAAACACAATTCAGTCCAATCATGTGATTATATTCCAAGTCACATCCATTCTAAAACAATTGGAGTAACCATGCAGTCAACTTTACTTTATTATTCAAACTGGTTAGAAAGTTTAGGGTTTTATTTAGAATAATTTGTTTTAGATTTTTTAATAACATCACAATTATTAACTGACAGGAAAAAATCTGTTCAGAATCCAGCAACATTAAAATAATCAGACATACCTAAAGTAAAATACATTTACAATAATATAACTCAATAGGTAAACAAGACAGGATGAAGGAGGGTAGCGTGGGGGGAGAGGGTAATCAACAGGGATTAAATAATACTATATATAAATCCGAGCTGGGATGAGAGACAGATGGTATCAGTATTGCTCATAGAACGATTAGAGGACAATAAGTCAATCCAATGTGCAGGTAGGTTTTGCATATACCTTAAAAATGGTTGCCATATTTTATAAAAAGTCTTACTTCTATTCTGCATCCATCAGTCTATTTTTCCTAGGGTCAGACAGCTATTGATCTCACAGAGCCTTATTTTAATTAGAAGGGGGCCACCTGATTTCCATTTTGTTACAGTACATTTCTCAGCAATTGCCAAAAAGACTTCTCTAGGTTTTTCTTCATAATTTGTCTTTAGATTAGAGATCCTAAAGTTACCCAATAAACAAGTCTCAAGGTCTGTTGAAGTCGTGGGGCCATGGATGGAATGGAGTTTTGTAAACTCCCTTCCAAAAGCCCTGCAGTTTAGAGCACTCCCATGTAACATGTCCCTTAATTTCATGCCACATCTAAAACAAAGAGGGGATATAGTGTAGTTATATTTATGTAGTTTTTGTGGGGTAGTAGCTGATTTAGAAAATGGAATTACACTATTCTAAACCGAGCGTTTAGAGTAGAGGTCACCCCTTCTTAGCATGCTTGTAGCGAAAGTGGCGAAGACAAACTCCTCTTTAATATGAAGAAATGTCCAGTAGAACCAGTACAACAATGTGAACCAGTGTCTGCCACAACTGACTGATAGTTTGAGAAATTAAAGCATGCACAGTAAAATGCAGAAACACAGATCTACAAGTACTTTCTATGTTAAAATCAAGTAAAAGGTTAATGGCAGAAGTAGCTCTGTCTTAAAGGGTTAGTGGGTAAATAACTGTACAGAAGCAGCAAATAAACAAGGAATTAGAGTGTTTTATAAAGAATAGCTACTTCAGAATTCTAGAATTATTGCCAGTCCTCTTAAGGCTGTGGTTGTTTTTGTTTCTGGTACAGCTTAACAAAGGTGCACCAGTAACAAAACAGAAAATGTTTTTTCCCTTCCCCTTTCTGGAAGCTTGTTCCTGATTAGAGGTGCATAAAAACTGAATGCTGCTTCTCTGTGTTTGAATTAACTATCTGCCTCACACGTTGAGGCAAAGCACATTTAAAGTCTGTCACATAGCTCTTCTCCCTAACGGGGTCGGGAGCCCAGGAATGTCTTTTTACATTAAATTGAGTTGTTAAATAAGGTAGCAACACTATGTTTAAACCACGGATAGTTTAAAAAATCTAATGAGAATGAATGAATTAATCTATTTTGTTTAGAGTTCATGAAACGTTTTATTAAGTGTGTAAGCTTCCACCCCAAAGTAAAACAATTTAAAAAATGACCTGCAACAATAAAGTAGGATTGTGTTTGGATAAATGGATGTCTAATTCATGAATAAAGTCAATATTAGGACTGATGCTGTATTGGATAAGCTCAGCCTCAACTCATATACTCTCAATTAACCCAATTTTTCTTTATGAACGGCAAAACAAATGCCTGTAGGAATGGCCAGGTTTTGATACAAATTGTTACACAAGCAGTCAATGATGATGATGTTTTTGCAAAGAGCAGGCAGGTTGGAGACTTGCCTATTAGTGAAGTCACTAAGATACTTAGTGATAATTTTTAGTATAATTTCATAAAACTGGATAACTATGTATTTTCAGGTACTGATGAAAGACATCACCACACCTGTTTCTTCAGAGGAAACAAAGAAACGGGTTCAGAAATGTTTGGAAAAGGCATCCCAAATCAACTACAGTCAACTGATGGAGTATGCTCAGATCAATGGTGGGAATTGTCAAAGCTGGGACTGGTGTTTAGTGACACTGGGATAGTCTCTTTTGTCATCAACTGTTTCTATTTATTGAGTTTAAGATCTTATTAGATCTAGTAACCAGTAACAGCTTGAAGAGTTTTCTCTTCAAGACTTTCAAAGACATCAGAAAACTTTCTTTTCTGTTGTTCACATGTGTAAACATGAGCAAACTATCTGTGTTCTTGCATTTTGGCAGACTGTTTCTTCTGGAATTGTCTTTACAAAATGGGAATTTACTTTGTTAACTCTAAATTCATAGATTATAGTACTATGATATTTTAAACACGGGTAAAAATCATACTGGTCCTAGTTTGTCTTGTAAAAAAGCAAAAAATTGTGGACCATTGTGGAAATGAGACTTAGTGTACAGTGTACGTACATGTATTTGTATTTCATCCAAGTCGAAGCTTAGATTTCACACTGGAGCATATGAAAGATGAACGAGTTTAATGATAACTTTACAATCTGATTAATTCTTGCTTTGTTTGAACTTTGTTAGTGGATCCAGAAGACATACTGGAGAAAAGACTGGATGATATGTTGAGATTGGGAGAGCTGTGCATTGAAGTCCTACAGCAGAATGAAGAACATCACTCTGAGGTATTTACTTTATGTACTTTATCTGCTGTCCATTCAAAGAGGCAGGGAATTATACCACCTGAAGGGTTGGTATAATTGGCATTGGAGAGATGTTTGACAATACAGCAATACAGAGGTTATTCTTCTGGGATTTCTTTTTTAAAAATAGTCTTTACATGGGAGAAGGTCAGTAGCACCCTTCTTGTTCTGTGGGAAGACACATACACTCAACAAAAATATAAATGCAACACTTTTGTTTTTGCTCCCATTTTTCATGAGATGGACTCAAAGATCTAAAATTAATTCCAGATAAACAATATTACCATTTCTTTCAAATGTTGTCCACAAATCTGTTTAAATGTTTGATAGTGAGCACTTCTGCTTTGCTGAGATAATCCATCCCACCTCATAGGTGTGCCACATCAAGATGCTGATCTGACATCATGATTAGTGTATTGCTTATTCACCTCTTAATGTTGGAGTTTGATTATACTGTATAACGTTTAATATAATCTAACATGCATTTTGCATGTGTTTATTCTACAGATATTCTATCAAATAAGGTTATCTGCACTTAAAAATTTGCACCAGTAACTTAACCAGTAATGGTGCCATCAGGAGCAGATCAAAAGTATGTCACTTGATGACATCAAATGATTAGCTAAAGCAAAGAGCAAAGGTCAGCAGACACATAGGTTGTCTCAAAGATTTGACACAGCAGGTCTTGATGTGTTTTTTGATAAACCCCAATTTTTTGTGTGGTTGCTTATACTATTTATTTAAATATGACTGCTTTCTGAATGGCCCACATACTCAAAAGAAGGACAGAGCACACAGATCACTGTTTAGAGCACACAGATCACTGTTTATGGAAGTTATAATGATCAATTTTAAAATTATTGAACAATGGGAATAGGCAAAATTGTCACAAGATCATAACAAGATTAAGAAAGCTAAAAAAAATAAATTTAATTGTTGATGCTGCTAGCCACAGCCATTGACTTGTGATTTGCAGAATTACACATCTCACTTAAATGACGTGAAACTTAAATAAGATGCAACAACATGGTTCTGTATGTAATATTGAAAACTACTAGATACATATCCAATAGATTACCACATACTGTATGTATGTAGTAATACATATTTTTGGGGGGTGAAAAGATCAAAATTAGGCCATTGAAACTACCATGAAAAAGCTATACATGGTCAAAATAACAGATTTGGGTCATATTTGCTTGCTGTCTGAACATCATGATACTTGGAGTTGGAGTGTGGTCATTAGTGGTATTGATCTTTAAAAGATTCTACATCCTGCCTGGGGAAATTAAAATGATTGGACCATAGTCTGAAGATTCTTCTTCAGTGTGATCTGTCTGAGGTGCTTGCAGTATTCACAACTTAGGTAATTGAGACACCCCACATACTGGGTTTATTCATATGCACCACAAGTGCTCAAACCTTATTTCCAAAAGTCTACTGGATGGCCACAATAACTACATAAACAATGAAATGAAATGATCACACTTAGATAATGAATGATTCACTCACTTGGGCCTGACCACACGCTCTCACATCTTCCTCCTGGTCCACATGGATCTGAGTTGCATATTGTATACCCTGTCACACTGTCTCCCTGAATTGAGACTGGAATTACAAGTGCTACATCTGCCAGTTTTGAAATCAGAGTACATTTCTCCAAGTGATCAGAAGTTGACAAAACTACCTAAATGGATCAGTTACTATGAGAATTGGTGAAACAGCATTCTGATTTTATGTACCATAAATCTGGAACAAACTTCCAGAAATCTGAGTTTCTTCAAACCAAGGCTAAAAGTTCATTTTTAGAACTTCCTTTGATTCATAATAATTGGAACATAATTCTCGCTGACTTTGGTTTATTATCCATACTCCTTCTGCTTGATCTAACTGCGACCTTTCATACAAAGGTCGCAGTTAGATCCTCCTCGTTCAAGGAGGATGCAAAACATCCTCCTTGAACGATTATTATCCACTATTGGTATTGTAAATACACCTCTGAAATGTTTTTAATCATACTTTTCAGGTATCTGTTTCACCCTTAACTTTCTCAAACTAAATTGCAATAAAACTGAATGTCTCTGAATTGGCACTAAATCAATATTAAGTAAACATAATAACTTCTCATTTCTAGTTGATAACTTCTCCATTTTTCCCTCCCGTCAGGTTAAGAGTCATTCTCGATAGCACTCTCTCCTTTGCCTCCCATATCAATTATATCATTCAGTCAGCCTACTTTCATCTCCAAAATATTAATTGTTAGTGAATTGTCTCCGTCCTTCTTTCACTCCTCACTCCACTGCTGTTCTGGTCCACAATCAAATCACGTACCGTTTAGATTACTGTAATTCTCTTCTCTTTGGCCTGCCACAGAAAACTCTCCATCAATCACAGGCAGTTCAAAATTCAGCCACTCGTATCATCACACCCCTTCAGTTCATCACATCACACCTTTTCAGTGACTGCTATACTTTTACTATACTTATTCTTTCTTTCAAAGTGGTTCACAACCTCATCCCCTCTTATTGTTTAAACCTGCCTGTACCCTCTTCTTATATTCATCTCATTATTCCCTGTGACTGTCTTGTCACTAGGGAGAGCAGAGCATTCAGCTGCTGTACTCCCAAACTCTGGAACTCACTCCACCTGATCTCCATAATATTGACTCTTTGTCACACTTCAAATTCAAACTCAAAACTCATCTGTTTCAAGTAATCTATGCTCTTTGATTGCAATTGTCTTTTTAAATCTGATTTCGTACTTCATTTCACTTTATATTTAAATTTTTGTATTTTGTTACATAATAAAATTATTATTATGTAATAATATCTTAAGTATTGAGAAAGGCAACTACAAATAAAATGTATTATTATTATTATTATTATTATTATTATTATTATTATTATTATTATTAGTTCTAGATGTCCCACCACCTACTAAATGTAATCATTTTATAGATATCTGATGTGAGTGCACCCACATCAGATCATTCTTTCAGCTTTTATTGTTTTTTCTAGTTTGATATTAGTTTAACTTTTATTTTATATATTTATAAAATAAATACCACCACAGGTTACATGATGCACTGAAACCTGTGGTGTGTTTCAGGGGGTCAAGCTTTGTTTCTGTGGCTAGCTATCTGTTAAAGTGACTTCTGGTCAGCCAGTATTTCACCTTCAGGTGAATTTTGGCACATTTACTCATTTGGGCATCATAGCCGCCTCCTGCCTCAGACCTCTTTTGTATAGGATTTCAGCCTTATCAAGTATGATGAATGTTTAATGTCAGAATTCTTGTACTTTAAATATCTGACCTGCTGTTTGAGAAGTTGTGTAACTCCTGACTATGTTAGCTTTTTAGCAAATATGGTTCAGCTCTGAAAATATTTTTTTTTTACCTCTGCTATCATCAGAATCACTCTCGTCATTTTTGTACTATTTCGAGCAGCAGCAACAAAAGTGCCACAACTCACTTGATCATTTCATTTACATTTTTGATTGCTTTTCAAAACGCTACCAGTCTTCATTTAACTTGGCAGTACTTACGTGAAAGTGGCAGATGACACAACAAGTGGCGGCTCTGCATTAGCGTCTGGAGCAGACTCATCATGAAAACAACGCCTACGGCCCATATGCACCTTGATATGGAAGCCAAAGTGTAGAACTGATCAATCATAGGTGTTAGGATGTGGTGGTTCTATCAGCCCTAAGTGGCAGCACGGCGCTCAGGCATCTGTTTCTGCACTATTAATAACAGACTGTACTCCACCGCTGCCATAGCAACCCCAGCTCTTTCTTCTTATCTTCAGAAGTGACGTTAATTACAAATTACAGACTTTTTGTCCAAGATCTGCCTCAAAGCTGTCACAGCTTAAATTTAGACATCATAATTGTTTACATGGTTAATGTGAATTTCAAGAACATTCTCACTGCATTACTAACTTCTCTTGCTGTTCCTTCATGAACTTATCAGTGATTTAGTCAATTTAGGTGCTGCTTTCTTGCATTGTAGCACTTCATTGTGAGATGTCCCTTTATGTATTTAAGACTTTTAAATTGAGGTGTGGTCCGGTAGACTATGTTAATAATATGCTGTTATCTTGAAGAGGGAGATACAAAACTAGAACAGCACTGGAGCACTAGCTAAGCAGTAACAATGACTTTCTAAAACATGTTTTATTGTTTCAGTAAACAAAAATATACTTATATATGTTGAGCTTTGAAAAATCTAGGACAATAGCCCTGGTAAGTGTAGATTTGAATACTTATATCAAATAAATACTTCTACATAGATTTCAGGGTACTCTCAAAAACAGTCCTAAAATAAGCACAGTACACAGGTACAGTGCCTTCCAAAAATATCAGGAGGGGCCCTGTCTTTTTTCCTATATGGAAGGATGTGGAAAAAAAAAGTTTAAATCTAAAATGTGCAGTGTGTTTTCTTTATTCTGTCCTTGCTTATCATTGGTATTCTTAAATAAAATAACTTGAACTAGCCACATCAGAAGTTTTATTTAGTATGCTGTCACTGCGTGTTTCATTTTAGATCAGTAAGATAAAATAAAATGCTCAAAGCTAGACCATAAAAAACAGTTTGTCTTGTGTAGCATGTATGATCTGCAATGCCACTACAATGAGGCGAAAAGTATTTAAAGTAATGGGCTATTTATAACAAAAATTCGGGGATGAAACGGGTTATATTTAACACACCACAGACAGAAGAATCATGCATAAAATTATTTATATTACAGATTATTTATAATCCATGTATGTAGGTGTGGCAAGCTCTCACTAGTCTAGCCCCTTAGAACTCCTTCGTACGTGACACATTTAAAAAAATAAAGAGGTCTAATGAAAAGGCCCCACGTAACAAGCTTAAGCACAATACAATTACAGATGCTTATCTTTTTTTCAAATAATAGACTAAAAAGTTAAACTCACATAAACACAAAATAACATTTTGTATTAAGTTCTAAACAACGT